GGCGCGGGGCCGGCCCGGGGAGAGCGGCTGCTGCGGCCAGCTCGTCCCCGGTGTCGGTGCTCGCGGTGCTCGGGGTTGTCTCCTCTGTGCTGGCACCCTCTGGGGAACGCTGCACCCCCAGGCTTGGCACCCAGCACTGCTCGGGTTCCCTGGCTTTCCTGGGCTGATAGAGCTGGCCGAGCCACCGTTCGCCCTTGCAGCAAGGGTCAGCTCTGGCCTCCTTGGCACCGGGCCCTCAGGTTTTGGTTTTGCTCCATCTCCTGCATGAGCCACGTGGAGGGGCAGCAGTGCAGCTCTGCTGAGGAATGTGCAAAGAGAGGGGGATAAAAAACCATTTGGCCCCCTCCAAATGGTCCTTAAAAGGCCACCAGCCACCTCTTCTGCTGCTGCTGGCTCGTCCCCAGCATCTGCCCTCCCCTCCCCATGAGCTTGGTACCAGGGTGCTCACGGGCTTCGCCCAGGGGCTGCCCAGCAAAACACTCCTGAAATGGGGAGAATCTTCCACTCCCACCTCTTTCCTCCGGCAGGAAGCACGTTAATCCGTGGTTCTGTCCAGAGGGACTAAGCAGGGGGATATGAACATTTGGGGCTTTGGGCTTTTTGTCCAGCCCTGCTGCCTGTCCTGGTCCGCTCAGCAGAGCGGGACACAGTCCCCATGTCACCATGAGGGCTGCGTTTGCTGCTGGCTCCGAGCGCGGGACACTCCTGTTCTCGCCATCCCCCGTGCACGGCTCTGTCGGGCTTTGTGGGTTACCCCGTCCGTATTTATAGCAGCGTGTGCTAAAAATAAAAGCTTTGGGCGCTCGGATGGCTGCAGAGAGGGCGGCCCAGAGCCCCTGGGAAGGCGGCTGCTTGTGGGGACATGGGTGACACCAGGCGCCTGTGAGACGTCGAGGCAACGGGGTCTTTCTTGGCTTTTAGCTCCTGTTGCTGCAGCGTTGCCGTCACCTCCGGAGCGCGGAGCCTCGTGCCGCGCGCCCTAAAAATACCCCTGTCCCTCATCCGCGCCTGCATCAAAAGCAGCCTGCAGCGAGAGATGCCGCAGCCTGGCTGCTCCGGGAGCGTCCGGCGGCGCTGGGCAGATCCCGGCGGGATCCAGGGTGGGAGAGCTCCGTAGGAGCGTGCCGGAGCGGCGGGGCACGCTGCGGGGGGGCCGGGGGGACAGGGGGGT